CTGTAAATGCCCAAGTCCTCGCAAGATCATAGACAACTTCATGAAGCAATCTGGGTACATATGATATATTGATGAAAAATCACGTGGACTGTTCTCCATCTTAGACTTCAAGGATTAAAGTCTAAGGTTCGTAATGCCATGTTTGAGTTGTGAAATGCATACATTTAACTCGTTTTGTGATATGAGGTTTGAGATACTTGTAACTAGGCCTCCTATCTGTGCAACCATGTTGATAGTGCGAATGAGAAGATAATCGGCAGTATCCTCGTGAAATAGCAAAATAGATACATTCAGACTATCTTCCATGCTATATTAATCACGAAATAAAAGCATAGTTAGGTCTATGCAATTCAAGAGCTAATAATATGATTAATATTATTCAAATAGGTCATTACAATAGGCAATACAAGTGACAATTATATATAAGCTGTTCATGTAGTAAAAAAAAGTCAACTCTTATAAAGTGAAACATGGAAAAAAAACTTGAATGAGAAAAATATCATACATACATGATAAACAGAACATAATTATAATAATGATATTTAAAACCGTATAGTCATCAAAGCATCCATGTGCTTAACATACAAGTCCAAAAGCATATAATTAACTCTCATAACTTATAAGTAACATAAAAGTAAACATGTGCTTAAAATACATATATAAAAGCACCTATGTTCCGAAAATACAACTCCAAAAACATCATCAAACTACGAGTCCAAAAGCATAGTCATTAATAAGAATATTGATTGTCGTTGTTTGGAAATGCTTCAGCCAGTCTCCAAATCATAACTTTTGACCGAGGACAGTCAATCGTTCATCATTAAATTCTAAAATTGAAGTCGTTCATTGTACCCACAGTTGCGGCTCGCAACTACCTCCCTTTTGTGACCAACTCTTACAAAACCTTTGTTATAATTGTAATTCCATTTGCTATTTCTTGCACGGTGGGTTGAGACCATGCAGAAGCGGTGGTGCGAGAAGGTGCTTTACGCATATTTCTGCTGGCGCTAGAGGTTGATGGCACAGACTCAACCACAGGAGTGGTAGGACCAGGAGTGCTATTAGGGGGAGGTGGTGGAGGACCTACTGGTGGCTAGGTAGGTTCTTCACCCATACTATCAAGGCCAATCTCGTCATCAAATATATCCTCACCCAATGCATTACGTAACGGTGCACTCTCTGCACCCCACTTCTCAAGCCTCTAGTAGCTCTCCCAGTTGCAGAGTGGTTGCCTGCTGCCATCCGCATATCATCTAAATTTTCAAAGAATTTATCTTTAAGCATTGGTGTGTTAGGATGAGCCTGCCAAAAAACAAAGATAACAAATTAATATTATGATTTTTTTGTAATTAGCAAACACAACTATATATTATGTACTTAAGATTTTTGGGTAATTAACGATCTAACCTGCTTGTTATTTTCCTACATCTCAACGGAACAAGTAATTCTTTGAGATATTGGCTCCCAGTGAAACCCGAAATTGTTGTTCAATAGTAATTCAATTGGTTCAATCTTCATCTTCCAACTCTTGATCCTATTCTTTATATGATCAAATTTAAATGTTCTTCCAAATTTAGCATTCATGTATGGCAACACATTTTGATTGATGGTATATTTCTTGAGGTTGCCGTTATCCTTCTTATTGCCATTCTTCACCTCCATCAAAAGCCGTAGTAACTCTCTCTTCTCTTGTTCCTTCCATACTACATAGTCACTCCTAGCTTTTTCGCCCTCTCACCATCTTTAGAGTACTCTTCTAGATTTTGAGTTTTCGAAGCAAAATTCATTCTACAATGCAAATATCAATAATGTCCAAACTTCAATTATTTTTCAATTTTATTTTGAATCAACAGTCACTTTACTAAACTCTATACTTTTATGTAGTATGCATAAGTAAAAGTTCAAATATACTTTAAGAAACTTCAACTATATTTCAATTTAATTGTGAATCAATATATTTAGAATCCCTAGATAGAATCTCTTGGTCTGAGGATGGTTTAAATTAAATTCTAATTGCATTTTCTAAATCCAGTGGGTACTTTTGGAAGATCACATACTTTTTAAACATGAAAAACAACCAAACGATGATCTCAATTTATTAGGAAAGATATTTTCCAAGGTCAGCTAACAAATTAGTAGCCAAATTGAGGAAACAAGCAATACGGGTTATAGATGACAATTCAGAGTGGTATGGGTTGGTCAACATCCAAAGGGAAGCTTTTCTATATGACATTGTAGTAATGGTGTTTCATGTTAAAATACTTGTCGTATGTAGGATCTGTTATCAAATATTCATCCATGTTGTGCCTATCATTGTGACCAAATGATAGCTATGACCAATCTTTTCTCAATACTATTGTACAGAAGGAACCAACCGAGGTTGTCATTTATCTAAGTTATAGATAGAGCAAGCCTATTTGAAGTGTCGAACTCCAACATAGTGTAAAATATCTTCAATACAATTATTTAGGGAAAATTTAGCTAACTATAAATGCTACAACACCACATTACATCAATGTGAGGCAATCAAATTTCATCAGTTGAGCAAAACAATTTATTTAGAAATAAATTACCAACAAAATCCACAATATAATAAGAAATTAAGAAGTCCGCAACTAGAAAAATATTAAATTGACAGCATAAGAACAATGGGATAACCTTAGTGATGACCAGGATTCGAACAGAATGGTGGCCAAGTGGAGGTGAGCCACAGGAGGTCACTGCAGCAGTGGTTTGGAGGTGGTGACTATGGCTATGGAGGAAGATATCTGAGAGAAAGTGAATCCTTTGGTTGGCTGTTGAATGAGCTTGTTGAAAGTACTGCTCGAGGAGGTGGACACTTGGAGGAGGCTTGAGAGGAGGATGAAGATCAGGGACCAGAGAAAAGAAGTGAGAGTGAGAGGAGGAGGAAGACAGGTGGAGCAATGATCACCATTGATTTTAGGGCTGGATCGAAGGATGAAAGAGCAGGAGAGAAGCAAGATCTAGGATTGCTAAATTTATCCTATTGTGTTCCAGTGTGTTCTAGTGAGAAGTTTGGGGCAAATTTGAGGTTGGGAGCAAGATATTTATTATATAGCTGTGGTAATTTTGAGTAAGCGTGGTAGTTGTGGCTTAGTTGTCCCAAAAAATAACACTATAAAGTATAAACCCAATCCCAATTTTCCAATGAATAATACCAAAAGGTTTTGTCCCAAAAATTATCCTATTTACCCAAAATTTGCACCAATGAATACTCTCAGTTTAAAAATATGCTTTTGAGGACTGTTTGTGCACGCATCAAACAATTATGAGCTATCTACTAAATTTAACTAAAGATGTTACGTAATAAATGAATTAGATTATTCCAACGTAACCCGTTTCATTCGTCATAATCCATATTCTATATGTCTCAAAACTTCTTTAAAAGAAAAACTAAGGGCATGTTATGAGACTTCTTTTGTTAATTTATTAAAAAACTTCTCATTTTCTAATTACTTGACGTATGGAGAAAGGGTCAAAATGCTTGACCTTTTTTTTTACAGAGCATTGCAAAACGTCTAAAGTTAAACACATATTATGGATTATCCAATTTCATGTTGAATTATGTTCATGAATATCTATGCTGTCCGACACAAGCACATATGAATAAGTTACGTTTGGTTACTTTTGGAATCCAATCAAAATCCATAAGAATGGAAAAAACTCGTTCGTTTAAGTTTACTTAACGTCATTCATATTTCATAAAGCTAAAATAAAAAAAGTAAATTATTCTTCTGTTGAAAACTGGATAGAAACCTATGTGCTAAGGTTAAAGTGGTTAATCATGATCAATGATTTAGACTAATGTTAAAGATAAGAATAATGCATAACGTAATAGTTTACCTTTTGTTAACGGTTAAGGAAAAAAATACAAAAAATATGATGCATAATATAGATTATGTTTATTAATTATTTAGATATTTCATAAACACAAAATTATCATAATGACTAATAATCGAATTCTCAAAATTTTCAAACATGAAAGAGGATTGGAAGAGTTACGAGAGTTAGAATTTAGAAGGCTTTATCTTTGTCAAAAGGAGTTATGATTTAGAAGCTAGAGAGGTGTTGGTGATGGGGTTAGAATGATCTCTGTTGCTAGAGGAGATATGGTAGCCAAGAAGGAACACACGGGAAGGAGCCTGTCATCGCACGAAAATATGAGGAAGGGAAGAGCGTTGTTGTCGGCCAGAGGTTTCTGTCTTCATCGACAGGCGCTGTGACATAGGAAGAAGGGACGGAGAGGTTTCTTTGTCGAAGGAGACAAGGAGTGAGAGGAGATGGAGAGGGAGGAGATGAGGGAGGCGATGGAGATGGGGTCGGGGGATTGCTAGGGTTTCTCACATAATATTGTGTAGGGGGATTCAATTGGGAATTTATTTCGGTTATCGTGATATCGATTTGGACGGTGAAGATATCACCACACATCCAAATCTCATAATCAGTTTAACTCAATTTAACAAGTATTGAATAATGCTTAAGATAATGAAACGCTGTTTTTGGTGTTGTTTTCTGCGTTAAATGCAACATGATTTTTTTGCTTGAATTTTGTAACACTTTGACTCTGTTAGGTGTTGAAATGGGTTTCAAAACGGGTCTTTTGCTATATTGGTTTAGACTAACAATTTGTATTCTTCAAGTAAATGGTCCAACATAATACCTATGTTGTCTATTTTCTTGGTACTTGAAGCATTGAAAGAACATTAAGTCATCTGGCTCCTAGTTTTAGACACAATAAATGAGGTATTGCTGACTTCAGTTAAGCTGATTATCCATTTGATAGGTTTATTCTTTAATTTTGATGGTGGGAATAACTGTTTATAACTCTGTCACAATCTACACGCATGAACACATGCAAACACGTATACACGCTTTTATATCTGTTAACTAATATATGTATATTTTTGTTACCTCTTCTATGGTATTGTGGTAATGCAGATGTCATGTAGCAGTGACCCTACCCTTTTGTTTTTTTGCAGCAATGAGGATGGTCTAACTGCCATATTAAAAGAAGTCATACAACGCAATTCTCGTCTTCGGGAGGGCATTGAAGGTGCTTCTGTTCCCATGCATAATTGCATGGTGAGGTTATCATCTACTATATTAGCATATTAGCTATTGAGATGAGATTACTTTGTAAATTTTTAGTTGTTTATATATGCTGAACAGTGCTCATGATGCTCAGATTAGTTAACTTTTTTAAAAAAAATGATGTTTGTTATAAGGGTTTATATAAGAGGATTTTTCTGCTGCGGAACATACTATATTCTTTGTTTTTGACTTTTTCCCCTTTAACTATTGTAGCTGGCTAGTTGCTATAAGGGTTCTCCCACAAATATTTCTAATTTGAAATGCCGCTCCTGCTGCCTCTCAAAAAAGGGAAAACAACCCTCAAATTTGAGCAGCACATTACAATATCTAGTCGTTTTAGTGGATATATGGAGAAAACTTGGAAGATTATTGTCATTACTTTTGCCTCTCTTTCTTTTTTTTTCCTTGTATGAAGTCTTTAGAAACACACAGATTTTTGGCGGACTTTTTTTAATAGTTAGCTAGGTTTTCTTCCTTATCATTGGGTGGGGTACCTTGAAGAATCCGTATCATTAATATTTCATTATGTGAATCTACCAGCTCAAGGAAGGCACGTAGCATGCAAACGAATCAGATGTCATTTGTCATATCTGCACCCGTTTACTAATTATGGATATGAAATATGAATAGGGTTTGAGAAGGAAGCCTCATATCCGTAACGTGAATTTGAGCACGGATATAGATGGGATGGGAGGAAAACAAATACGGATGGATATATCAATATGACGAAAATGTGTGACACAGTAGTATATAATCCATGCAATATACAAATTACCTAAATAAAGTATAATTTTAAAAAGCTAAACCTTTGGATCACCAAAACCGGTTTTGGATCACTAATCTAAAGCCAAGGTAAGTTCATCCATCTGCTCGATATAAATATCCTTATATCTGTATTCATTTGATTCTTCTACCTATATTCGTTTCCATGTCCATTTACAGGGAAAAAAGAAAAAAGAAAAAAAGAAAAAGAAAGAAAGAAAGGATATTACTATGTTCATTTGAAGTGAGTTGATCAGCTATCCACATTGTTTTTTTTACCTTGTATTGTTTTGTTGGATCAATGATCCAGAATCCTAGTGAAGATTGAGGCAGTACTAGATCCATTAATGTTACTTAGCAGTCCAAATTTGACTGGTGATTGCTGTGTCGGATCAGTGACCTTTAGAGCAGAGCTGCCAAGTACCTTCTTATACACTGCTTTCAGCTTGTTTGCATTTGCTCTATGGTCCTGCAGTTATGCTTCATATGGCTCTCTTACTGCTTTGTCAAGTTGGCAAAAAAGGTTATACCCACTTTTAGTTAAGCACATCTGTCAACATATTGACTACTCTGAACTACGTATGATGATCAAGGGTAATGTTGTGGTTGGGTTCTTCATAGAGGGATGGGAGAAAGCCTCCTAATGGAAAGAATTGGTGTTTGGAACATTTTTAGAAGCACCTGCCACTTTCCTTCCCTTAAGCACACAGAAGAAAAGGAGGAGAAGTAACATTTTTGTAATGCGACTGTCATGGGTACACCATATGACCTTTCTTTTTGCAAATTTTTTATTTAATAAGCTCATTTTCTCCATACAGCCTCTTGCTTAGCTTTAAACCCATTAAGATTAACAACTGCATATTTATGTAGATAATACCTACATGACATTGAAGGATTGTTTGTTACTTTGGGATGCTAACAAATGTTTTTCATCAGGACCGCTGGTGGTCAGAACTACAAGATGTAGTTGTTAAGTATATAAACAGTGAAGCTCCTTCAGTCATAGAGTCTAAACATCGCGGTCTTATCCAACGACTTAAAGGAAAGCAGGGACGTTTTCGTTGCAATTTATCAGGGAAACGGGTTGAATTTACTGGAAGAACTGTTATTTCTCCTGATCCAAATTTAAAAATTACAGAGGTCAACCGTTTGAATTTGAGATTATCTTTAAGTGAACCACTTATGTATGATAAGTTTTTCCATCCATTTATCACTGTGTATCTTTTGATTAACTTTTCTTTGGGTCCAGGTTGCAATTCCAATTTTAATGGCCCGGGTATTAACGTATCCAGAACGAGTTACACAGCATAACATAGAGAAGCTGCGACAATGTGTCCGTAATGGGCCTTTCAAACATCCTGGGGCAAATTTTGTGACATTACCTGATGGTACTCGCTTGTAAGTGTTAATTTGAATAATTCTGCATATTCATGATAGTTCTTAGACTTCTTTTTATTGAAATACTGGAGTTGTTAATTGCAGGCACTTGAAATATGTGGAGAAGAAGAATGTTGCTAACGAACTGAAATATGGTTGTGTAGTGGAAAGGCATTTGGAAGATGGAGATATTGTTCTATTTAACAGGCAACCAAGTTTGCATCGGATGTCTATCATGTCTCATAGGGTATTCTATTTTTTATTAAATTCTTCAATTCTTCGTCAGGGATTGCTTCTGTTGTAACATTGCTTTTGTTCCATGGATTTAGGCACGGATAATGCCTTGGAGGACCTTGAGGTTTAATGAATCTGTTTGCAATCCTTACAATGCTGATTTTGATGGAGATGAGATGAACTTGCATGTTCCTCAAACAGAAGAGGCTCGTACAGAAGCATTTACACTTATGGGGGTATTTTCTATTTGTTCTTTGAAATAAATGTTTAATCCTGTTGAACTGTTGTACAGCCTCTACAGTTTTGAAAGTAATATACTTAGTACCATTATTCTGAATTCAGTGAAGTAGCGTGGAAAACCAGCTCATTAGGTGATAGTGGAATATACAAGAAACAATAAGCGGGGTTGCATCAACAAGCTTCAATGTTAATGTGAAGGTGCTGCTGGGTGTGGACTCATACCCAAGTAACCCAACTATGAGATATCAATCTGATGAAATATTTACATCCTTGTTTGCAATAATCAATCAGTTATCAATGCTAGATAATTGTATAGTCAATTTTCATGTGCATAACATGCTATAACCCTTTGATAGTAGGTTCTTCCATAGCCTACGATTACTAACAACGATGCATATGGTTCTTCTTGGATTTTTGGAGCTAGGCAGTGATTATTGTTGTTGTTACTTGTTTCACTATGGTAAATCAGTACTGTTTGGTTCATGATATTCTAGGAAGCATAGACGTCTGACCTGATATAAGACCATTATGTCCTTCACATATTGGTTAGGCATATAGGTTCTGTAAAAGACTAAAAGTAGCATGTTTATTATGCCGAAGGGTCTCTTTTCTATGTATGTAACCTACACATTTGGTACTAGGGTACTACACAAGTTTATTTTCTTTTTCAACCGACTCTTGCGTGCACTTTGTTTTTTTTTAAAATCGAGACTGGCTTCTTTCCGCTAAGTTTTGGGCAGTGGTACCGAAGCGACTGTGTTCAATGTATTCCTATTGCTGATGGCGTAAATCACTTTCAAGTTCAATGCTTCTTAGATTGTACTCTTTGATATTTAGTAAAACAACCATGCAGCCTTTTGCTTTTGAACCTTTTAGGTTGGATTGATACATTTTAGATATTGAAGTGGAACTTTTCTCAATGGTCAAAATTTTGTTTAATTTTGTCTTTACCATTGTTTTAACTTAGTCTTGTCCTTCACAGGTCCAAAATAACTTGTGCACCCCAAAAAATGGTGAGATTTTAGTTGCTTCCACACAAGACTTTTTGACATCGTCGTTTCTCATTACAAGGAAGGACACCTTCTATGACCGTGCTGCCTTCTCGCTCATGTGCTCATACATTGGTGATGGAATGGAAGTTATTGATTTGCCCCCACCAGCTTTGATAAAGGTTATTTCACTCCTCACTTTTTCTGGCGTGTTATCATTTTTTTTTATTTAGATTGTTACTCAATATTTTGCTTCAACACCAGTTGCGTATCTAGTTAGTTTTATATTGGTGTGCATATTCATGAAAGAGGTAAATGGAGTATTGGAAAATGTTATAGACTTAAAGCAGTTCCATGAAATGGATATGAATTCCACTCTTCTCACTGTATCTGGTCTGTTATCATCTTTTAATCTAGATTAGTACTCAGAGTGCATATATAGTTTGTTTTATTTTGGTTTGCATATTCCTGAAACAATTCATGGATATTAGAAAATATTACAGTAGTTCCATGTAGTGGAGGGTCCTCTATAGTTTCTTTCATTTAATTTGTTCTATTTTCGGGGATTTAGTGTTCTAATTTTGTTCAACTGTCAAACTGTTATTTCTCATTTTCTGGCTTGTTAATACTCCATGCATGTTGTTAAAGAATATATTATAAAGATCTATAATGTTATAGTTATATTAGGAATAATAAGTAGGAACGTAAATTAGAGATTTGGTGATTGAGAGATATTAGGAATGTAACTAAGAGAATAATTGTGATTAAGTAATTATGTTTACTCCCACATCCGCTACAAAATAAACTTGTTATTGTATCCCAATGTAAAGGAGAGTAGTTGTAGCTTTTGAAATATGAATGAGAATCTACAGTATTTTATTGTTTAACGTGGTATTAGTACCACACAAACCTTCGCCTTTACAAAGCCCCAGATCCTAACAAACCTTAGCCCCCTAATCTCTCACCATCAAACTCCTCCATCTGTCTTACATCCATTTTTTCCTGTAATTGTTCACCGTGAACAATGCCGCGGTTTCTTATCCGTCCTGCTTTCAATGGCCTTGTTGATGATCACCGCTTGTATTCTAGAAACGTTGGCCACCGATAAAAAGTCTGTTATCCTCTATGTATATGTCCTTGTCACAACATATGCTACATCAATTTCCCTTCATTCACTGCCTACTTAATTTGTGGACACCACTGCCACCACCGCTTGTATTCTAGAAACGGTGACCACCAATAAAAAGTTTGTTTGATCTCTAAAGAGGATCGTTTGGTTGATCCATGAAGAGGATAGTTCATTTGGTTGATTCGTGAATAGGACCGTTTGTTTGGTGGATCCACGAGAAGGATCATTTATTTGTTAGATCCTTGAGAGGATCATTTCTTTGGCAGATCCCTAAAAAAGGATCATTGTTAGATCCCGAGGAGGATCATTTGTTTGGTGGATCCTTGAGAAGGATCATTTGTTTGGTGGATCCCTAGAGGATCGTTTTCTTGGCGGATCCCTGGTGAGGATCGTTTGTTTGTTAGTTCCTAGGAGAGGATCGTATCGTTTGATTGATCTCTGAAGAAGATTGAGGTATCACATTTGGTACTTTTGGTTGATGTTGTTTGTGGTGGAAGACATTCAAGTAGAAGACTAGAAGAGGATGACAACTACGATGGGAAGGTCACATAGAAGATTTCAGCCTTTTAAGTCATGTCATAAATTGGAGTGAATACATTTTGTTTGTTACAAGCCGGACATGTATGATATACATGCTCCAAGCTTATATACATGCTCCAAGCTTGAGGCAGAGTGTTAAGGAATATATTATGGAGACCTATAATGTTATAGTTATATTAAGAATAATATATTAGGAGTATAAATTAATGATTTGGTGATGGAGAGATATTAAGAATGTAACTAAAAGAATAATTGTGATTAGGTAATTGTGTTTAGTCCCACATTAGCTACACAATAAACTTCTTGTTATTGTATCCCTATACAAAGTGGAGTGGTTGTAGCTTTTGAAATATGAACAAGAATATGCAATATTTTATTGTTTAACACATGTATTACTTTCTTTTTTCTTTCATTTGGCTGGTTGTTGAGAGTATATAATTTTTCCTATATGAGATTTGCACTTTCTAAAGCTTGGCCCATTGGTGGCTGGAATTGTGGAACATGTGTATTCTTGCCATGGATGATTGCTAAAACACATTTACTTTTATTGTTATCATAATTCCAGTTTACTTTTTCTTTTAGTTCCTCTAGTTACTTCCTTGATAAAACATGTGCTGATATTTTTCTGTTATTATCCTTTACGGTTAGGTGGCATTAGTTATTTTATGCCACTGTAGCCGTTTTCTGATTTTAAATGAATTCTCTTTTTATATATTTTTTTGTAGCCAATCGAACTTTGGACGGGGAAACAGTTATTTAGTGTTATTGTACGGCCTAATGCTCAAACAAGAGTGTTTGTAAATTTTGTTGTCAAGGAGAGAATACACGTGAAAGATACTGAGACAATGTGCCCTCATGATGGTTATGTCTATTTCCGGAACAGTGACCTTATTTGTGGACAACTTGGGAAGGTTACTTTGGGTGAGTAGCTTATTTCCTTTTCCTATCATGTTTATTACTGCTAAACAAGTTGTCGGTGCCTGCTAATTTTGTTTCATTTTTAGTCCTATTGTTGATATATTCTTGAATATGAGATAATTTCTTTTGGGTATATTTCACAAAACTATCATGAATTGTTAGTGATTTAAATCATAAACCTGCCATAACTATTTTTATTAGAAAAGTATAAAAATTTCAAATCTGTGGAAAAGAAAAGCCATATAATATCTAAAAATTATTGAAACCATGTTAATTGCTTTGTAATATCTGAAACACACCTCAACAGGTAAGAAGGACAGAATAGGAGAATGGCTATGTAAAATAAACAAGAGGAAAAATATCTAAGATATGTGACATGCTAACTTACATTAATGACTATGTTATGATAGTTCAGTGCAAAAAAGTATGTGGTATTTTTCTCTAATAAAAAATAGGATATGGTACTTCTGTGCAACATCTCTAATAGTACCTGGTAGTTTGTGAAATTTACCCTCTTCTACTCACTTTCATGATGTTATTGGACATACAAATACGTGAACTTTGTTACAGGGTATGAGTTAATTGAGTAGAATGTAAGTAACTTATATGCCTATTCTAAATTTTACATATTTAATTTGTTTTCATCTAAGGCTATGTTTGAGACAGTATTATTTTGACTGTAATCAGTGTCTGATTATCTTGGTTGTTCTTTGCATTCTATATAAGCAAACAACATTGCCCATGTGTTGGTGCTCCTTGATACATCCCCATTAATTTAGTTTTTCTTTTGGGGATACAATTTACTGTATTTCTGATTGACTTGTAACTTAAACGGCTCCTATTCTTCAATAAAAAATTGCAGATTTTGGGTCTGGATTCCAATGATCTGAATTCGGTTCTCATAGTTTGCAAGATTCATGTCAGAATCAATGCTAATATTGTTATACCTCCCAAGTACTGCTGATTGATTCTTCTTTTCGGTCAAATGATATAATCAATGTAAACAACATATTAAATGCCATTTAGTTATTCCATTCAAGTTTCTATCATTGCGTGCTGCTGTATACCAATTTGCATGTCCACATGCACGCGCGGTTCCATGAGAACGCACACAGACATGGACGGACGGATCTGACTCCTCGTTGTTGCTACCTTGGTGTTCTGCTGGTCCTTCTCATTTCTCTGCTGTGCTGCTGGCTCCTTCTAATTTAACAAATAAGATGCTTCCTGGTAGAGCTGAACAAGGCAAAGTATTTCGACTCCAAGCATCTGGGATTAGAGACTTCGTTGTTTTATTTCTCAAAATCCTAAACCCATATGGCTTTGGCTGAGGAAAAGTGCCTTCTAATGATCTGTGGATTTTAGTAGAGTATATGGAGTATTTTGTTGGCTCTAGTCAAACGTGCTGTTTATAATTATTTGACATTCATATACTCCTGTAGTCAAACATGCTGTTTATAATTAGGTTAAGTATTAATGCTTTTATTTTGTAAGGATTATTTCCTTTATGTAGTTGCAGTATATTCTCGAAACTCATGTTTTGCACTGCTGGACTTCGTAATTTTAGATTTCATTATATTTTCCTCGCTCTTGTTTTACATGCTTCATCTACTCACCATTGTCGTCATCATCATCTAATAAATTTTTTCTCAAAAGACTGGTTGGCTATAGAGTAGAAACCCCCAAGGGTTGGCAAAATTCCGCAACCAGCCGTCAGACTTAAGATTTTTAATGAAGGAAAGTGTAGATAAGTGACCACCTTGCTATAAATGCTTGAGAGTCAAATGATAGGAAAAAATACCAGTTAATTGGCTATGCAGTTTAAGGTCGCATGATCATATTTGCATTTACGTGTATTAACTTTATTAATGTAACGAAACTCTAACTTAAAAGTATATTATCTTTTTGCATTTGAAGTGGTGTCATTCTTCATGTTGGCTTCTTGTCGATGATCATAATATTATTTTTATGCCATTCAAGTCAATTAACAACATGAATCTACTGCTGTATATCTTCCTCAGGAAATGGCAACAAAAATGGCCTTTTCTCTGTTCTTTTGAGAGACTATAATTCAGATGTTGCTGCAAGTTGTATGAATCGCTTGGCAAAATTGAGGTAACTTTTGCATGTATTGTATGTTAAAAGTTTTACTTTTAAGACATTGTTTATTGATAAGCATTCAGTAGCCCATTTCCTTTGTTAAATTAGCATATACCCTTATGCACATGCATTTTTGTATCTGTAAGCACAAATTATAGTCCATTTCCACCATTAAATTATCATGTATGCATGTGCACACATTTATGTGAGTTTGTATGGTCGCGTACACATATAGATGCATAATCACGTACATATATGTAGAGATCAGCTCGGATCATTTGGATAGAGTTTGTTGCAAAATTCTTTCAGTTGGAACTTGATAATGAGTCATTTTATGAACTACTCCATTGAAGGTGATATATAATCTCTAGAGAAAAGGGTTTTTACATCAGTATAAGGTGATCATTGATGTTGGTTTCATCACTAAAGCAAGTAGAAGTGACTGAGTTAGGTGATAAAACAAATGGAAGGACTAATTTGGAGTGACTTATAGGATGTTGGGATCAAATAGTAATTTCAATGATATGAGGGACTAATTTAAAAAATATAAACTTTTTAAATAACCATTATCTAAGAACCCAATAATAAAATCACGTTTCAAACATTTTTCGCCCAGGTATCAAGTAAGGATAAACTTGATGGATTAAAATGGTATTTTTCTCAGATAAGGCATAAAATATTTAATCCAAAATTTTACCTTGATCTAAGAACTTCAAAAAGCTTTATCAAACAAACTTTTATTAGGTTTCAACAACTCTGCACAGTTTAACTCACTCAGTACATAGGGTGTTGTGCTTGTTGATGTATAACTAAAGAAATTCAAAAATATGATTTTACGTTATAGGCAGTTTACATTGTGTGTGGACTTACTTCAATGGATCAGGTTTTTCTCATGAATTGTCAAAATATTGAGTTTGTATGAGAAGGATTTGGCTTCAAATCTGCTACATACATACACAAACAGAGATATACTTGAGTCTGTCCAATTTAACCTAAAATATATCATTTTATTTAGCAGGTAGACCACATAATAGTGCTGAAACTTTTTGGTAAATAGTTGATGATTTTCCACGTTCAGTTGGGTCCATAAAGCTATTTTTTTCTCAGAAAATAAAAAACTGTAAGTCAGTTACCTAATTAAAGGAAAGGTAGAAAATCAGAAGCGAAAGAGAGCATTTTTTTCCTATACCATTTCATCTTTGATCTTCTTGATTCCTCCTTAAGCCTGCAGAAAAGAAAATAAGAATGATTATTCAGTTTAACAGAAAGGGGCTGGAAATTCTGAACTAACTGAAATTGAATATAGAATTAATAGTGCTGTAGGCCTTTGAAGTCATACTTACTACAGCAGCTACATATTGTGAAAAATCCTGACAAGGAAAGAACCCATCAGATTTATCAATAAAAAATTCATATAGAAGGGAAAATTTTCAGTCTAGAAACTAGATCCCAACATATTTATCATCTTAAAATTACGACTAAGACAAAAATTCGACCAACTCTTCTGTTATTTTTTTTCAAACTGCTAAAACCGTTATGGTTAGCAGGAAAAAATTTAATGAAAAGGTCTAGCATTCACCGAAGTTTGCAAAAATGAGTAACCCAAGAACCTTCGATGCATCTGTAACCAAAAATAGGAAATTGAGAAATGGAAGAGTAAGTAGGTTTCAAAATATGGGAACAGAAGGAAATAGAATGAAAATGCTCCAAGACAAAATCAAGTGATTTTATTCATACGATGTTCTTTCTATGACGGGAGTTGCAGCTTGAAGATGAAGTTTTCACCAGTCAAGTCCAAGCGTCTACCTCAAGAAACCCATCTTTTCGGATGTCATGGGGAGAGTATATCATGGGGATCCTAAGGATAGGAATTAGTGACACTTGAGAGAAGGAAAAATGGAAATCTAGGTTGAAGGTTTTGGAAAAAAGAATGAAGAGAACAAGATACTGCGACAATCACTAATGTTTCTCACATGTAGGTCCATGGAGCTTGGGGTCAATGATTAACAAAGTCATGATTAGCAGGGCCTAATAAAGAAGTTTATTGGCTATATACCCCTCAAATCTTTCATAATTACATATTTACCCCCAAATCTTCATAATTGCTATTGTACCCCCAAAATTTTTTCCCATAGTTGCATATTTACGCTGCTAATCTTCATAGTTTCCACTATACCCCCAAAATTTTCCATAATGCATAATTAACCTCCTAAATCTTCGTAATATCCAATATTTAGCCCCTAATTTAGCAACTCTGCTGTAGTTGGTGGGTTAATTCAAAATTGAAGATTTTGGGGATATATTGGAAATTATGAAGATTTGATGGGTAAATATGCAATTATGGAAAACTTTGGGGAACATATTGGTAACTATGAAGATTTAGGGAGCAAATATGTAATTATGAATGATTTTTTTCTTTTTGTTTTTTTGTTCTGGGGGTGTTTATAGCCAAATAGCCCAATAAAGAATGTGAAGACAGAATATTTGAGATTTGCTTTGTTACTTAAACAGAGTGGGCAAAGTATAAATCAAGAATATATTTCTATTATAAATAACTGAAAATATATTTTCGTAAAGAAATATGTT